CTCTCTGATACCTTACATGATATCTACATAATATTTAAATCATCATCTATAATAATATAATAATAATATAATTACAATATATACATTATATTCAAACATTCAATCAATTTTCATATAATAAGTATAACAATAATGTATGATAATGTATTATGCAAAAGATTCAAACAAACAAAGAATATTGGTTTGGGGTAAATTAATTTAGTGTAGCCCATTAGTTTATTAAAGTTCTTACAATTTGCCATCCTTCATTTACATGTTTGGTCAAATTTGTATTTTTGTAAATATTCCACGCCAATTTAAGACTATTTCTAAAACCAGGTATTGTAGGTAATATGATTTTTCTCTTTGACAAATAAATATATCTTTTCAATTCTAAAAACAAAATATCATATTTAAAATCATTAACTTCAGAACCTAAAATAAATGATTTACAATTAAAATTATCGTCAAAATTATCTATCTTGTCTTTCAGATATTGAAATAACGATTGAATGTTTGGACATTCCCAAAATAAATGCAACAGAGTTTCCTCTTGGCAATTGCAAAAAGTACACATTTTACTATTAACAATTTTCATTTTGAATAAAAGTGAGTTTGTTGCTAAAGTTCTATGAATTATTCTTGTCTGAAACCACTGAATATAGGAATCTTTGGTACATTTAAATACATAACTATATATTAAATTCCAATTTATATCAAAATTTGTAAAAAAAAAGTTCCATTTTTCTTGACATGTTGGTACATCTTGATTTCTAACTAGAATTTCATAAACATATTTCTTTTTGTTATTTTGTGTAATTAAAATAGGTTTAATATAACAACTCATAATAGGGTATTGAACATTAATAAAATCTTTACAAATAGAAATGTTAAGCTTTTGTGTATATAATAATATTGCTTTTTTCAAACTATGATATTGTAAAAAATTTACTTGTTTTTGTGTCACCTGCTCTAAGTAAGTTAAATCTACAAAATCGCCTTGGGGATTAATAATATCCTTAACAAATCTGATTCCTTTTTCATAAAAAAATTTAATATAAAAGTATCTATTTCCTGCTAACAAGTTATGATTGTAAAACAATGGCATTTGTAACACTTGTTCTAAACTGTCTATACAAAGTTTATCTGTAAAAATCATATAAGCTTTTAAAACATCTATCCAAAAAGCATTTTTAATTTTATCAATTGTCAATTTACAAAACAATTTCCCTGTGCTAAACACTTTATCAATATTGAATAAAGCCATCACTAGCTTATAACATTTACTGTTACTATTACTAACATATCTTTTAAACCATTTTATCTTTACAGAATGTATATAACTATCAATATCAATCATATTTAGACCACCTTCCTGATATGTTTTAATAACTACTGATTGCTTTATCTTTGCTTTACCTTCCCATATAAATTTATAAAATAAGTCATTAAGTGTTTTCAAAAATGCTGAATTAGGTGTTGGTAAACTTGTAAAGCAATGAGTGAATAAAGGAAGGAGTAATGACTTAACAACAGTAATTTTTCCTATTGGTGTTAACATTCTTTTTTTCCAGTATCCTATACTATTTTTAACTTTCTGAAGTTTTTCATTAAAATTTAACTCTATCATTTTTTCTAAATCAACATCAAATATCAAACCTAACAATTTAAATTGTGTATCACCCCATGTCAGTTTCCATTTTGTCTTAATAGATCTTGTACTGTATTTAAGAGAGCCTATCCAAATAACTTTAGTTTTATCAAAATTTACTTTCAATCCTGAAATTTCTGAAAACGTATTTAATAACTTTAAAACAGTATTAAGGGAATTTTCTGATCCATCTAGCAAAATTGAAGTATCATCAGCAAATTGTGTAATTTTATACTCCTCCCCATCTATATTTATACCTTTAACATCTTTACATTGTCTTATTTTTATTGCTAAAATATCTGCACATAAAATGAAGATATAAGGTGAAATAGGATCGCCTTGTCTACAACCTCGTTTAACTTTGAAAAACTTTGATAAAAATCCATTTAAAATAACACAAGTTTCAGTATTGTATAAAAATAAAGATATCCATTTTTTAAACATAGGACCAAATTGAAAAAGTTCTAAACATTTCTCTATAAATGTAAATGATAACGTATCAAACACTTTTTCAAAATCTATCATCATTACTAAACCTGGTATATCATTATCCTCAGTATATTTCATAATATCATACAATAATCGAGTGTTCTCACCAATATATCTATTTTTAACAAATCCTGTCTGATCTTTTGAAACTAAAATATCTAAAACAAGTTTAAGTCTATTTGCTATGGAACCTGAAGCTAATTTATAAACTACATTTAATAAAGTTATTGGTCTCAAATTTTTTAAAAATTGTTTTGTTTTTTTTTCTTTTGGAATGCATGTTATTGTTCCTAGCTTTTGATTTCTAGAAAAAGAATTAACAGTATAAGCAAAGTTTATAGCTTTTACAACAAAATGTCCAATTCTATTCCAAAATATTTTTAAAAAATTTGCTGTAAATCCGTCACAACCTGGGCTTTTATCATTTTTCATGTTTTTTAATGTAAAAGAAACTTCATCATATGAAAGTAGACCTTCGAGATTCAATGCTTCATTTTGAGACAACTTGGTAACATTACAATTTTCTAATTCCATATCAATTTTAGATTCTTCAGTTATATCAACATTTTTATATAAATTTTCATAATAACTACATGTCTTTGTAAGAATATCTTTTTGATCATATATAAAGGATCCATCATCAAGTTCTAGAAAAGGAATAACTTTATCTGAACAATGTGTTTTTTCTAAGTTTAAAAAATAACTAGTAGGCCTTTCTCCAGATTCAATCCATTGTGACCTTGACCTTATCATAGCACCTCTTATTTTTCTATTTCTTAATTCAGTCAATTCATTCTGTAAGTGTAAAAGTTTGTCTTTATTTTCAATTGTCAGGTTTTGCTCTATAAGAATAATTTCTTCAATTAACTTTTTTTCATAAGTATTTCTTTCCTTGACCTTATAAGAGCTGTAAGATATAGTTTTACCTCTTATTTCCATCAAAAGAGTTTCTAAAAAAAGTTCATCATTTATAACAAAATTTACATCTTTGTTTTTTGGATCTAAAACATAGTCTATATTGTATACTGGTAAACAATACTGTAATTTTACTTCATCTATTTTTTTATTTATAATATCAAGGAATTCAATGTCATATAAAAGAGCATTATTAAATTTCCATAAACCTTTTCCATGACTTACAGAACTAAAACAAAAATCTAAATATATTATTGAATGGTCAGATTTATAACTAATGTCAATATCACATTTTCGTACATGCTGATATAAACTTTTTGATATAAGAAAAAAATCTAGTCTACCTTGTTGTATAGGGTTGGTTCGTCTCCATGTATATTTTTTCATATTACCATGCAGTTCTCTAAAGGGATCAATGAGGTCTTTTTCTTTCATAATACTTATTAAAAAATTTCTTGCCTTTACATTATTGTTTTTTTATTTATAATTATAATAATCTAAGTCAGGATTTTGAACAAGGTTGTAATCTCCACAAATAATTAGAGAGTCATTATCATCAAAAGAATCTAAAGTGTCAAAAATGTTTTTAAAGAAACTAGGACTGTCTATGTTTGGCGCATAAATGTTAACTAATGTGAAATTTATAGAATCAAGCATTATTTGTAAAATTATGAAATTTCCTGAATCATCAGTTTTAACAGAATTAATTTTTATATCTAAACCTTTTCTGCATAAAATAAACCTTTGGCATTAGACCTACCATGGCTGTAAAAACATTAACCATTTCATTCAGAATAAATTTTCTTTTCAATTTCTTTTATAAAATGTGTTTCCTGTAGGCAGAGAATATCAGCTTTTTTTGACTGAAATAAATCTAAAACATCTTTTCTCTTGATACTATCATGTAAACCTCGACAATTGTAAGAGAAGATATTAAGACTACTCATAACTAATATTTACAATAATACATTCAACACTATATCTACAATATACATGGCTACACTTAAGTAAAGTAAATACAATATGTACATGGACCCAGAGAAACACTTCTAAATAACATATTGACCTCAAAAATATAAAAAAATGTGCTTGTATATAAAGAAAGAAATACATTTAGCCCAATAAACAAGTAAAATTTACTTATGGAAGAAAAATATTTTGTAGAAGATGCAAAATATGTTTATGTTTCGTCTAATTATATCAAAAATTGAAACATTCTTTTTCATTGTTATTTTAAATGAATAACACATTCAATGAATGAAAATCAAAAATTAGAGGATATCAAAGATTTTCTCATAAACATGTGATTCATTCTCTTAGAGGTGTATAAAACAAACAATTTTCACTTGTTGTGGTATTCACTGTAAACAAATGAAAGACAGAAACAAATATTTTATTCATAAAAAATTTAACAAACTGAATTTTCTGTAAATTATATAGAACAGAAAATATGTTTTAATTAAACTTTGTTATGCAAATAGATAAATAAAACAATTATAACGTCGTGTGATCATGGTAACATAAAGTGTAATATGAAACTTAGAGTAAATAATAGACAAAATATAATGTTATAAGTAATAAGTCAATATTTTCTCTATCATAGCAGTAATAGAATTTCTACTGGCAACCTCACAGGATATTGTATACCATATTTTACCCAGTGAGTCTAACCATCCCACTGAAAGTAAAACTTCCTCCCGATAAAGGCGAGAGATAGATGTTAACCAGCAGCAAAACTAAATACTTACTGGACAGGTTTTTTTGTAGATAGAGAAATTGGAATTCTTTAACATTATCATTAAAAAGTGATACATGAATACACATAAATATCATATGATAATGAATCAAATAAGATTTCTATTGAGAAAAGATGAAAATGAAGATAAGCGTTTATTTAATCCATATTTCACTCACAAGTTTTATGAATATATAATTACCAGTTCAAAATAACAAGTACTTTATTTAAGAAATGGCCTTATATGATAATACAATTTTCCAATATTCTATAAATAACTAAATAATTTACATGTATATAGGTATAGCATGTTATTAAGAATTAACTAACACCTGCTTAGAAAATCACATAGTTAAGAAATAATATATTAAAAAAGTTACTTAAATTTAGCCATTTTTGATTATATCAACATAAGAATTTATTGAAAATAATCTAGAAATATGTACATTTTAACTTTTTAATTAATTGTCTTTAATTGCTGAACACATTCTTGGAAATTCCGATGTGTTCTAAATATAGAATACCTTTATTTGTGAGGCCCGGAATGAGGTACATAAATTATGCATTATTTTGGACGAAGAGAAGCAGTTCCCGTACACATTTTGTAACGAAGCATAATAGTATTCTAATGTTATATTAGTCCTCTTTATCGCCAGAAATCGATGATAAGTTCATTTATCTTGAGTTTAATAAATATTTCAATCAGAGTATACAGCATACATTAAATGCCGGTACGCATATCCGGTACCTGTACCCTGACTCATTTACACTCAATGAAGGGATTGTATGCGTGAAGAAAAAAAAAACACAAGTTCTATATTGTAATGTCAGTTCTTTGACTAAGTTATAATCATCAATAAATAAAAATAAAACCATTGACATTAAGTTTAATGAATATTTCAGTAAACAAATATACGGCGTATAATAAGCGCCGGTAGATTTATCCGGTACCTGTATCCCGACACATAAACATATAAAATGAACGCACTATATTCGGCTACCGTATCTTGAATCTTGAATGCAAAGGATTGACCCCATCATCCATACTAGAAACAATATCTTCCCTTTCCTTTTCCGACAAACATCCTTCGTGATACCACCTCCCACACATATCTTCATCACACCCATACCAAAATATATCATTAACTTCATCATCAATTTTCCCATGAACACCACAAACACCACAAACATAACTAGCAGCTATTCTCTCAGCCATAGTATCTTTCTCCCGAGCTTTCTCTTCCTTCTGTCTACGTTTTAATTCCTGTTTCACAGTTTTTTCTTCAGTTTTCTTTTGTTTCTCTTCTTCTTTCTTCTGCCTTTTCAATTTCCTTTCCTCTACTTCCTTCTGCTTCTCTTCCCGGCGCACCTCTCTGTTCCGTTTCCTTGTCTCCATTTCCTGCTTTTTCTTCTGTGTAAGCTGTTCTTTTTCCTGCAATATACAAATGCAATAAAAATGGGGTGTATAAAAACAAGAGGGCCATGATGGCCCTGAGGTCGCTCACCTGTATATAGCCCCCCCCCCACCCCCCGGGTCAATTTTTACCCAAGGGCTTTTATTTGAACAGACTTGGTAGACACCCATAAGAAGATGTTTCATGCTAAACATCTAAGTTCTAGCTCATTGGGTTTTTTAAAAGAAGATTTTTAAGTTTTTACTATACACATATAGTTAAAAACAATGACACCCCTGGGGCAGGGCCAGTTTTGACCCCCGGGCTTTTATTTGAACAAACTTTGTAGATATTTACTTAAAGATGTTTCATGTATAATATCTAAACTCAAGCTATTTGGGTTTTTTCAAAGAAGATTTTTAAGTTTTTGCTATACACATATAAGGAAAATCAATGACCCCCGGGGCAGGGCCAGTTTTGACCCCAGGGCTTTTATTTGAACATACTTGGTAGACACCCATTAGAACATGTTTCATGCTAAATATCTTAGCTCTAGCTCTTTGAGTTCTTTAAAAGAAGATTTTTTAAGTTTTTACTATATGCATATAGGGAAAATCAATGACCCCCCGGGGCGGGGCCAATTTTGACCCCAGGGCTTTTATTTGAACAAACTTGGTAGACACTCACTAGAAGATATTTCATGTCAAATATCTTAGCTCTAGCTCTTTGGGTTCTTTAAAAGAAGATTTTTTAAGTTTTTACTATATGCATATAGGGAAAATCTATGACCCCCTGGGGCAGGGCCAATTTTGACCTCAGGGCTTTTATTTGAACAAACTTGGTAGACACTCATTAGAAGATGTTTCATGCTAAATATCTTAGCTCTAGCTCTTTGGGTTCTTTAAAAGAAGATTTTTTAAGTTTTTACTATATGCATATAGGGAAAATCAATGACCCCCTGGGGCGGGACCAATTTTGACCCCAGGGCTTTTATTTGAACAAACTTGGTAGACATTCACTAGAAGATGTTTCATGCCAAATATCTAAGCTCTAGCTTTTACAGTTCTTTAAAAGAAGATTTTTGAAGTTTTTACTATATGCATATAGGGAAAATCAATGACCCCCGGGCCGGGGCCAATTTTGACCGCAGGGCTTTTATTTGAACAAACTTGGTAGACACTCACTAGAAGATGTTTCATGCCAAATATCTTAGCTCTAGCTCTTTGGGTTCTTTAAAAGAAGATTTTTAAGTTTTTACTATATGCATATAGGGAAAATCAATGACCCCCTGGGGCGGGGCCAATTTTGACCCTAGGGCTTTTATTTGAACAAACTTGGTAGACACTCATTAGAAGATGTTTCATGCCAAATATCTAAGCTCTAGCTCTTACGGTTCTTTAAAAGAAGATATTTAAAGATTTTTCTTTCGGTTGCCATGGCAACCAGAGTTCTGCATGAAATGGAATTCTTTGAACAATCTTGATAGAGCTTCATACAAAGAGTATTCCTGCCAAGTTTCATTAACATTGGCCTTGCAGTATCATAGAAGATGTCCTTAGAATATTTAAAATGTGGACGGACGACAGACGACGGACGCCATTTGGTTGGCCATCCTAAAAGCTCACCTGCACTTTGTGCAAGGTGAGCTAAAAATACACAACGTAAAGTAAACGAAAATTGAACTTGCCGTATTATATGAACGTTGCGTATTATAAAATCGTTGCGTACCGCATATATTTTATACTTTTATTTAACAATGGGAATCATAATATATTAAAATGTATAATGTAAAGTGTGTAAAAAGTAATAACGAAAAGTCCTGTAGTCAAGACAACGTCTACATACCTTAAGCTGCATGAGCATTTCCTCTCCAGTAAGGACCTGGGAATATGACCCAATAACGGCTATAAAATAAGCCAAAAAAAATCTCTGCCCTGTGACCTTGACCTTTGACCTGGTAACCTCAAAGTCAATAGGGGTCATCTACTAATCATGACTTACCTTCATGACAAATATGAAGACTGTGGGTCAAAGGAATCTTAAGTTATTGGGCGGACAAGCTTTTTAAAGTCAAGACACCTGTGACCTTGACCTTTGACCTGGTGACCTCAAAGTCAATAGGGGTCATCTACTTATCATGACTAACCTAAATGCCAAATATGAAGACTATGAGTCAAAGGAATCTTAAGTTATTGGGCGGACAAGCTTTTTGAAGTCAAGGCCCTTGTGACCTTGACCTTTGACCTGGTGACCTCAAAATCAATAGGGGTCATCTACTAATCATGACTAACCTCCATGCCAAATATGAAGACTGTAGGTCAAAGGAATCTTAAGTTATAGGGCTGACAAGCTTTTTGAAGTCAAGGCCCCTGTGACCTTGACCTTTGACCTGGTGACCTCAAAATCAATAGGGGTCATCTACTAATCATGACTAACCTCCATGTCAAATATGAAGACTGTAGGTCAAAGGAATCTTAAGTTATTGGGCGGACAAGCTTTTTGAAGTCAAGGCCCCTGTGACCTTGACCTTTGACCTGGTGACCTCAAAATCAATAGGGGTCATCTACTAATCATGACTAACCTCCATGCCAAATATGAAGACTAAAGGTCAAAGGAATCTTAAGTTATTGGGCGGACAAGAAAAAACCGACGGACAGCCGGACGGCACGGACGGCCGTACCAACTTTTGATATTTAAGAGGTAAATCAGCTCATAAACTACACCTGGACCAAAGTCCATAAGCAAAATCAGCTCATAAAAAA